TCAAGGGCTTGTGGCTTTTTCCAAGGTAGGATCTTATTATATCGGCGAAAAAAATGCTGACCTCTTGGAACACTCCAGTAGATAGTACTGGAGTGATTAAACCAGTCTGAGCATATATCAGCAGCAGTTTCTCCTCCTCCATATATGAGGAGTCTCTTCCCACGATATGCCGCTAATGGCTCTTTGATCTCTTTTGCATGATAGACCGAACCAGTGAAATCCTTGAATGTCGTATCCTTCGGGTCAGTTACTGGAACTGTTTGCCCAGTACAAACGACAAGGAATCTGCTAGTGTACGTGTCACTATTAGCAGTAGTAATGTGCCATAGACCATCTCTCTTCTCTGCACTGGTCACTGTAGTGTTGAATACTATGCGGGGGAGGACATGAAAGAAAGAAGAATATGACTGCAGATACTGCAGGACTTGCTGATGGTGCGGAAACTCGATACCCTCAGGCATAGGATAGTCAGACATTTCACTAACTGTAGCCGAGGAGGTAGTACGAGTTGATTTCATGACAGTCTTTTCAGTAGGATCATCAGAATAGTACCATAGCCCACCCAGCCCATCTCTTCTCTCCAGGGCTACAACAGTGAGTCCTTCTTCCAACATGTACTTGGTAGCTGTAACTCCAGACCATCCTGCTCCAATAACTGTCACATCATGATGCCTTCTCTTATTAGCACTCTCCATTTCTCAGGCCGGCTTTCAACATAAGATACTGATGCTATGCGGAAATGAAGGCAAGACAGCCCTTGAATGTAGAATCCAGTGACTGATTAATAATAATTATTATTAACAATAGACTATGATAAAAATAAAACTATTTTGAATAAATTATTATAAAGAATGAATTTAGTATGTATGCATGCCTTACACAAAATGGTCTAATAATTTATGATTTATAAAATTTGATTCTCTTACTCAGTTGGTGGTAGCTGTGTCTTGTTGTCAAATAAATATTTTTTAGGGAAGCACCATACCCAATTCAGAAACTGACCTAGTCGTATGTTATACAAGAGCCTACCAATGCCAGCAGATTGCAACTTATACTTAATATACTCGAGGCAGGAGAGGAAGGAGTCAAAAAGGGTTATACGTAGGAACAGTAGTAGGAGGAGATGAAGAGGGGATGTAGTACCAATGCGATGCCTCTCAAGCGTTGCTATGGCCTGGGCTTGATGCTCTTTCTCATTCAGCCTGAATAACGCTCCATTGTAAGGCGCCATTATTGCTACGTAAAAATCATATTTGTTCCTTTTGAAAAGTTTCCATGCGTCTGGATAAACCCTAGCTTGTCTGCTAAGGTCAGTTAGGTATATGCCTGCTTCTACTATCTTGTCTCTTGGTTGCACTGTCGTCTTGAAGTATTGCTGCCAAAAAAATTTATCGGCTTTTGTTTCATTGAGCCTCTCAGCTTCTGGCTTCAGTGGGATGCTACCACTGTTTATCCTTGCTAGCCATCTTGATTGCATTTCAATTATTGCAAACATGGAGCCAATCACTGGACGAATGTATCCAACAAAAGCAAGAGATGGGTCTTCGTTATTGAGAACATGCTTGTGCAATTCGAGAAAATTTTGTGGCCTCCTTTCTTCTGGTAAAAAAGAGAAAGACTCTTTGTAGCCTGTGCTCAGTATGACAATATCAAACTCTGAGCTTGAGCCATCAGCAAACTTTATTTCTTTTCCATTGCAGGAAGTGATGGCACCCTTAGGCATTAATCTCTTGTAGTCGACTAGGTCAAGAATGTGCCCATTCTTATTAATAAACTGATGCATAAATGGAGTACCATTTCTCCATTCTGGTATTCCATGACCTTGATAGGCTAGCAATGATCCACTGGTAGTCCACTTACATATCCATGCAAGCCCGGGCTTACTGCAGTGAAAAGGTGTTATCATTCTAAGCAAATGTGATGATGCCTTATCAAACGCTTGAGGTTTCTTCCAAGGCAGAATTTTACCGTAACGTCGGAAAAAATGTTGACCTCTTGGAACACTCCAGTAGATAGTACTGGAATGATTAAACCAGTCTGAGCATATATCAGCAGCAGTTTCTCCTCCTCCGTATATGAGGAGTCTCTTCCCACGATATGCAGCTAATGGCTCCTTGATCTCTTTTGCCTGATAGACCGAACCAGTGAAATCCTTGAATATCATATCCTTTGGGTCGGTTACTGGAA